CACCAGGACAAGTGTCCCTTTTTTTATAACTGCTGTGACTTGTACTTAAGTGCAAATGCAGTACCTTGGTACTTCAGCGACTTCAACCACACGACGTAGCGATGATTTCTAAGTGCTTGTCAGACTTCTGTGTGCTCTTTAAAGAAAAAAAAAAGTTCCAGGCCGTGGAATGTGTCAGGGACGTTGACGGCGAGTTCGCAGCGCTGAGGTGGAAACTCAGAACCTGGCTCTGTGGAAACCTACTCCTCCAGGGTTCTGAAGGCGTTCTGCATGTCCTCCAGCAGCTGAGCGTAGTCTCCTTTAATTTTAGCTTCGCCATCCTTCACGGGATCCTGTGGAACGACACAGAAAGATCATGTCCACGCTGCATCTACAGGGTGTGACGTCACATCCACCGAGGCCGGTGGTTTGGTTTAAACTGCGCAAAAATAAAATCTGATCTCAACAAGACATAAACTTAAAAATAAAATCTGATCTCAACAGGACAAAGAAACAAAACCTTGAACTTCATGGAGCTGATCTTGTACAGAATCTCTCCCAGGTGCTCCTTGATCATGGCCCACGTGATCTTGTTGTCGCTCTGCGCCGTGGTCTCCACCGCGTGTCTCGCCATATCGTAGAAGGCAATCATGTTGGACAGGATGCCCACGGTTTTGTAGAAGGGACAGAACCTGTGGAGCAGGGACAGGAGACTCAGGTCAGGTCCAGGAGGAGGTTGAAATGTCACCTCCTGTTTCCATCATCATGAGGTCACAACAAGACAGACACCGACATGGGCCTGGTAATATTTATTTATTTATCTGCTGACACAGCATCCTCCATACAATCCCCTGATTATTAAAATAGATTAATAAAATGAGCTGCAATGCTGCCATCTAGTGACTTTCACTTTAATATACAACTGTTTATCCCAAAAAACTATTTTTAGGGGACACATTGTTGGGTGAAATCCAGGAATTGTTATCGGGTTTTCATTATCGGACAAAAAAATAAACAATTCTTAGAGATAATACATTATTTTGCTAATATCAGACGCATAATCATTATCGCATATCATTAGCATAATTAGACATCCCTACTTATAACACAATATTTTACTAGTGCATCTTAAATTTCCTGGTTAAAATCTAGAGGGAAAAGAGTTTGCGTTGAGTTTTCACCTGTCGTACGACGTGTATCCGTTCTGCTGCAGGAAGTCGTCCTTAATCAGCTTAGCAACTTCTAGAGTAATCTTGTCGGTTTCAGCCAATGAAGCCTGTGAACAGAATTTCCCTCTTCAGAATTCTCAACATCTCGTTCTGTTGAAGTCAGTTTGTAATTTTTGTACTTTTCGCTCTCACCTTTCCTACGAGCTGCACGATTTCAGCCAGATCCTCCTCCTCCTGCAGGATCTCTTTGGCTTTGGTGCGCAGAGGAACAAACTCGGGGTAGTGTTTGTCGTAGTACTCGTCCAGCGGCCGCGTGTACTTGCTGTAGCTGATCAGCCAGTTGACTGAGGGGAAGTGTTTCCTCTGGGCCAACTTTTTGTCCAAACCCCAGAAAACCTGCACAAAAACTGACATCAGTCACTGACAAAAAAATATAAAACAGAAATTCACTCACTATTAAATAGTGACATCATTCACCTGAACGATTCCTAATGTGGCTGAGGTGACAGGATCTGAGAAGTCTCCACCAGGGGGCGACACACTAATGGAATTAACCATAACACAGGTAGTAAATTTGAGTAAAAAAATGAACCAACACCAGAAATATTTGATTTAAATTGGTGATAAAAAAGAATCAACACACTGATGGAGGACATTGAAACAAAAGGTATTGTGAAATGAAATATTGCAATATTTCAGTGTATCATTATTTTCTTACAGCCTTGTTACTAATAATTTCTGATTCTGTTGCTATTACAAAAAAAAAAATAACTCACGCTCCCACGATGCTGACGCTGCCTTCTCTTTCTGGATTTCCCAGACACTTGACTCGTCCTGCGCGCTCATAGAAGGAGGCGAGCCTGGCACCCAGGTAGGCAGGATAACCGCTGTCTTTAAAGGAAAAAGACATGTTTTTCCCCATTCACATCATCATTCACAGATTCTATCTGAAAAAAAAAAACAACTGAAAATAACGTCAGATTTACCAGCTGGCATTTCTGCCAATCTTCCAGAGATTTCCCTCAGAGCTTCAGCCCATCGAGAAGTTGAGTCTGCCATCATGCTCACGTTATAGCCCATGTCCCTGAAGTATTCTGACAGTGTGATCCCTGCACAGGTCAGAACATCAGGATACATGTCAATAGATGGATTCGAACCTGAGACCTTCTGGAGACAAGTCTGCTTCCTTAACCACCAGGCCACCACAGCTCCAAATAATAAAATAGTTTGGTTTTTTTTTTTTACACTTGAACATGTGTCACCTGTATAAATGGACGCCTCTCTGGCCGCCACAGGCATGTTGGAGGTGTTGGCCACCAGGGAGGTTCTCTTCATGATGCTCTCCACCTTACCATCCACCTCCATCGTCAGCTGTTGGGCAGAGGGAGGGTGAGGGTGCATCACTGCTGGTTTCAAAAGGTCGACACCGGTGAAAGGAAAAGGTACGAACCTCGGGGAAGTCACGCAGCACTTCCGACATTTCATTCCCACGCTCCCCACAGCCGACGTAGATGATGACGTCACTGTTGGAATATTTGGACAAGGACTGGGAGATCACCGTCTTTCCGCATCCGAAGGCTCCGGGAATAGCAGTGGTGCCGCCCTGGACACAGCTGCACCGCACAGAAGAGAAGAAGCACATTTTCAAAAAAAATAAATCGGTGGCTATTAAAAATATTGCGAGTTAGTTTGGAATTTCAGGTAAGATCGATTTAATTATCTTAACTCACGGGAAAAGTGCGTCCAGAACTCTCTGACCGGTGAGCAGTGGGTGATTGGCAGGAAGTTTCTCCGTCACCGGGCGGACTTGTCGTACAGGCCACACCTGAACCATGGTGAACTTCTCCTTCACTCCTTCAAAGTCGAGCTCCAGAACCACATCCTGGAATAAAACAAAAAAAGGGAACAGAAAAAGTGAAGAGGAGAAACATCTTATATTATTGTTGTTGTTGTTGTTGTTGTGACACAGATCAACACTCACAGAGAGGTCGTAGTGTCCCGGTGGAGCCAGATACGTCACCGTCCCTCGGCTACGAGGAGGAAGCATCAGTTTGTGTCTGATTAAAGAATTCTCAAAAACGATACCGTAGATATCGCCACCTGTGATGTGACTGCCAGCCTGAGGACAGAACCAGATAAAACATGAAGAAGGTCATAGATATTTATGTAAAAAATATTAAAGTTAAAAATAAAAAAAGTCTAACTCGAAGACTCTGTCCTGGTGAAAACTCCCACTTGATGTCTCGGTTTAAAGCTCCGATGTTCACTCCTCTGGGGATGTAAATACTTTGGGTCAGGTCATTGATGTCCTTTAGGGGGCGCTGGATACCGTCAAAAATGGAGCCCATGATCCCAGGTCCCAGCTCCACGGAGAGTGGTTTTCCTGTTCGGAGGACGGGGTCACCAACAGACACCCCGGCTGCAGCAGGACCATAAGGAAAATCAACAGGAAACTCTCGTGTTCATATCAGAGTGGCTCCAAAACACCACGGATTTAACTTTTCTTTTTCTGGTTAATTATCTTAATGATGTAAAAATATCACTGATTAAGAGCCAGGTAAAGGATACAAGTCTCCTCGTAGACCTGGATCGTGGCCATGTCTCCCTCCAGTCGAATGATCTCTCCCACCAGTTCGCTGTGTCCGACACGGACCAGCTCGTACATGGCTGCTCCGGCCATGGCAGTGGCCGTCACCACTGGTGACGACGAAACACAAAACAGAAAACAGAAAACAGAAAGGATGTTAAAAAACTGACAGGAAATATAAATCATACAAAATAACTAACATGGAAACTAAGTTAGTCAGTTATGTTGTGAGCTCAGAACTACCGCCATCTGTTGGTCAAACAATGATAACCACAAACATATATGGAGTCAAGTTTTAATAAACTGGTGTTAGTGGTGCAGACCTGGTCCAGAAACTCCATGAACGTATCCAAACTGACTCTCTCGCTCCTCATCCTGGATTCTTGGAAGTTTTGAGGTATCCATCCTGATCCCTTACAGAAACCCTGGAGGATTTAAAAATATAAAATATAACGTCACCTTAAAATGACTTTGTAAGACTAAAGAGCCACTTCACAGTCAGATAAATACAGATAGAAAACAACAGGACATGAAGGACAAGTGGACTCTGTGTTTGACTGTTGAACAGGAGCGGAAAAAAAGTTTGGGAAACAACTGGCCTAGAGACAACAGCAGTCAACTCAGCCTGTAAACAGACGTTTGGAGTTCTGCATTGGTCATTGTTGTCCATTAATATTTACTTCTAAACGGGACCTAAATGTATTTCGTGAAAAATCTGGACTGTCAGGAAAATTCGAGTGAGAAAAGGGACGATTTTATTCACAGTAAATTCAAGTTAGTTCCTCGAGCAGGAGGCACGTGACCTGTTTCTCTTGCAAACAGACGACATCGTATATTTGTCTAAAACAGATTCGTTTACGATAGTAAACACTGTTCAACTGTTAAAAACTAATTTAGACATGACACACATTCTCGGAAAAGACATACAGCACCAGTAATAAAGTGTGTTTTCATAGGTACAGTGACTGTGCTGAAATGAATGACCAGGTCGTGCAGCGCTGGGGCAGACCGCTGTAGCTAACTCCACTTCGGTAGCTCTAATGTGGTTACGACAGCAGATTACGATGATAAATACAGATAAATAATGTATTTCTGTTCCAGAAAAATGCCTTAAGACAGTGACTACAAACACGTAACACTGAAGGCAAAGCCGATTTGTGCGCGTCTGCAGTCAGGTGACTAGCGAGTTGATACTAGCCATAAGCATTACCCGCAGAATCACAAACATTAGCATCTTTGCTAACGTTCCCCACAGCTACGGCCTGTACGGAGCTAAAAGACGTACCCTTAACGTTTTAGCGCTATTGTCGTGATACAATAAAGTCCTACCTTTTCTTGTTAAAACCGTAGTTTCTGCCGTCACAGCCTGAGCTACGGGGGCAGGAGGAGGACACTTCACTGGGTTAATCACCTGCGGCCACTCTGCTGTCTCCGTCACGACGCCATTGTGGTTCAAAAATGATAAGACAGTATTGACGTCGCGGAGCCAACAAGGCGTCCGGAGCAGTGCAGTTTCCTGTTCCGCTTTCGCAATGCCGATAACAAAGTGTTTTACTGCTCTCTAGCGGAAATAAACGTAACATACACCGCTGAGAAGAGGTTTTTGGTACAATATGTCAATGTGTCTCGTACCTCAGTGCGGTTATATTCTGTATATATATGTTTTTATTTTTGTTGTTGTTGTTGTTGTTTTTAAAATTCCTGGTATTCTGCCACCCGGATTTAAATAAATCATTTTTTTGCTGAAAATGATTGATATGTTTAGGGACTGGTTGGATTACACGGAGCCCTTAAAGAGACAGTGTTACAAAACAATAATTTTCAGACTGTTTACCTGTCAATCAATAAACAGCAGCAATGTACTGACACAGCATTATTATTATTACTGTTATCACTTGTTCTGAACATGTTCCACGTTTGATTTTAAAATTGGACACAAGTTAAGACGACATTTAAAACAGTGTGAGGTCAAACATAATGTGAGGAATGTTTCATTACATTAGAGGATACAAAACTGCAACTGTTCAAATGACATTCACACAGAGAGGATTTTTGGACAAGAACATATGGAGGGTAGGTCCAAAAATTCAAAGACAGATAATTTCCAAAGGTTAAAGCTCAGGTATTTTCTCAATTTGATCAGTGTTTTCAACCCTCAGTGTTTTTCTGTTCAGTTATTACTATTAGAATGCCAACATGTGACCCCTGGATGAACGCCAGGGTCAGTCAGTCTGACCAGTCCTTTTCGTCCTGCTCTGAGTCGTCCTCGGAGTCGGTGAACTCCACAGCGACACGTCGGGACAGGATGGAGGCCACGTCGTTCCCCGCCGGCTCTCGTTTGTCCTGCTGCTCCTGTTGTTCCTGGACTTTCTTTAGCTTGATGCCTGATGACAACACGATCCAAACATGATCCAAACAAGTTCTAGGAAACGAGGACATGTTTCAAATCAATGACTTGGTCACATGACACCAACTCACCCACACGTATGGCGGCCAGAAGATCACTTCTGGCATCTCCCACAGGTTTAGTCTCAGCTCTGCTCCCACTGCTGTGACACGGAAGACATGACGGAGAAGCTGGGGGAGGAAGGAGAGGTGGAGGTGGTGGACCATGAGGGGGAGAAACCATGTGAGGTCCTGAAGGTGGGACAGGTGGAAGCGGGAAGCCCGGGCCGACGAGCAAGACTCCATCGTGTGGTGATGGTGGCAGAGGGAAAGCAAAAGCTGTCTGTGCTGATGGGATAGGAGGGCCTGGAGGCGGAGGTCCTGGAGGTGGAGGTGGGGGTAGAGGTAGGTGTGGAAGTGGAGGCAGGGGCATACAGCTTGTCGTACGTAAAACGGAAAGAAGAAAAAATATATTGGAAAGTCAGTATTCCATTTAACATTAACCACATAATTGTGCTACTGAAACAAACATACTTATGGCCTGCAGGTGGCAGTACCGAGCCCTTCTGTCTGTCTTCAGCCTGAGGATCTGGCAGGGCGTAGGTCACTCTCTTGTAGTTGACGTCAATGCTGTGGTATTCATGCTCCACAGGTGGTGATGAGTTCACGTTCCCAGGGATAAAATCAACAGACTTGGCAGAGCGACAAGCAGCGTGGGGGGGCGGGGGAGGGACGGGGTGGTTGAGGAGGTCCGGTCTGCGACAAACAATCGTGGTTCACGTGAATTTACATCACAAATCCAGGAGAAGTTTGAAGTATTAAAAAGTTATTGAAAAGAATATGCAAATCATCATCAGGCAGCATTAACCTGCTGTGCAGACAGAGGGCGCTCTCCGACGATGCTCCCCGGCTCAGAGTCTGAGGACGTGAGCGGTCTGAACGCAGCTCTCTGTCCACCGACATCATGTTCCACTCTTGCCTGCGGTTCCGGGCCTTCCTCACCCGCCTCCCCTCACGCTGCAGAGTGCTGCACTCCAGACACGGCTTCTGCTGCTCCTGGGGGAAAAAAAAACATCCAGGGATGGACCAATCAAATTCAACCCTGTGTCCCCATGTTGGAGTGAGACCCACAGTTTGAACAACACTGTCACCTTTTGCCGTCTTCTCAGTTTCCTCTTTTCCTCCGTGTCCTGGAGCATCCGTTCCCTCCACAGGTCAAAGAAGAACAACGGGTCGGAGTAGAATTTCATGGCGTCGACAGAATCCTCCCTGATACGACATATATATATAAATATATAACATATAATGACATATATGTCTGCACTGCTGCACATTGTGTTTTATTCTGTATTATTTTGCACTCATTATTCACCAATAACAGCCTGAGAATAAAATAAAAAAATTCCCTCCAAGCAGCTCAGTGGCTTCCTAACGTTTCCTACAGCGCCCCCTTTTTGTAGACAGAACTACTGTCAAACCTATTACCACAGTAAAAAAAATTAAATTACAAATCAGTGCATTTTCCCTGGTGTGGGACAAATAACAAAAACATTCAAATTTATGTGCCCCCACAGGGGACACGCCCCACATTTTGTGGCCTCACTCATAAAACACGCCCCACATTTTGTGGCCTCACTCCAGGTTTCAAAAACATGACCTTCAGTGTGAATGGTTGTTTGTATCTATCCGCCCTCCCTGACCTGATGGGTGCTGGGGTGACCCCTGCTGGTGGGTGTGGTACCTGTACACGGTGAGTGTGTTGAGGGGAGGCGGCCTGTCGCTGCTGTTGTACAGGTCAGCCACGGCGTCGGTCATGCTGCCGTTGGACAGGAGCTGCTGATCCTGGAGCGTGGAGCTCCTGAAGGCCTTCCTCAGGTTGATGACTCTGAGAGAGACTGAACCACAGCAGACGTTTGGAACAGAAACGCTGGAGCCCGGAGAGAAGACGCGCACGCTCTGACACTGACCTTCCTCCTCACCGGAGTCCAGCTGGGTGACTTTGACAGCCAGGCGGTCGATGCGGTCCTGGAGGGAGTTCGCACGCGCACAGAAGACGTTGGCTTCGTGGAAAAGTTCTCTGAAGACACTCTCAGCATGTTGACCTGCAAGACCACCGAAGAAGAAACGAGGAGAAGAAGAAGAAGAAGGAGACAAAAATATAAACACATTTAGACATCGTGGTCTCACTGAGACGGTGGTCTATCTGAGACAAG